TTTTAAATTACGTATATGAGTAAGAGCATATGCTATTTTTTTCTGACTTATTTCACTCAGCATTCACCCTCTAGATCCATCCATGTTGTTGCAAATGGTAAGATGTCATTCTTTTTTGTGACTTTATATTTTCCATTTATATATATTTATATTCCATAATTTGGCTATTGTAAATAACCTACAATAAACACAGGAGTGCATTTCAATTTAGTATTCTTCTTTTCTTTGGGTAAATACCTAGTAGTGGAATAATTACATTGTATGTTATTTCCATTTTTAAATTTTTGAGGAACCTCCATACTGTTTTCCACAGTGGCTGCAACAGTTTGCATTCCCACCAGCACTGCATGAGGGTTCTTTTTCCTCCACATCCTTGCCAACACTTGATGTTTCTTGTGATTTTGATTTTAGCCATTTTGACAGGTGTAAGGTAATATGTGATTGTGATTTTGCTTTGTATTTCCATGATTATAAGTGTTGAGCATCTTTTCATGTTTCTGTTGGCCATCTGTTTGTTTTCTTTGGAGAAATGTCTGTTCAGTTCTTCTACCAATTTTTTAATTGGATTACTTTTTGTTGTTTTTGTTTCTGTTTTTGTTTTGTTTTTGTTTTTGGTGTTGAGTTGTAAAGTTCTTTATATAGTTTGGATGCTAACCCTTATTGGATATATCATTTGCAAATATCTTATCCCATTCCATAGGTTATCTTTTAGTTTTGTTGATGGTTTTCTTTGCTGTACAGAAGCTTTTTATTTTGATGTAGTCCCAAGAGTTTATCTTTGCTTTTATTTCCCTTATCTTAAGAGACTTATCTAGAAAAATGTTGCTATAGGCAATATTATAGAAATTACTGCCTGTGCTCCCTTTTAGGATTTTTATGGTTGCTGGTCTCACATTTAGGTCCGTAATCCATTTTGAGTTTATTTTGGTGTACAGTATGAGAAAGTGGTCCAGTTCCATTCTTTTGCATGTAGTGTCCAGTTTTCCCAACAACATTTGTTGAAGAGACTTTTTCACCATTGCATATTCTTGTATGTTTTGTCAAAGATTTATTGATATACGATCATGAGTTTATTTCTGGGCTCTCTATTCTGTTCTATTGATCTAGGTGTCTATTTTTGTTCCAGTGCCATACTTTTTTTGATTACTATAGTTTTATATATCAGGAAATCATTTAACTTCTATGTATTTGTGTTCTTTCTAGATTTTTTTCTATGGTTGATTTCTAGTTTGATAGTGTGCTAAGAAAAGATGCATGGTATAACTTTGATTTTTTTTTTAATTTGTTGAGACTGGTTTTGTGACGTAATACGTGACCTCTTCTAGAGAAAATTCCACGTACATTTGACAAGAATATGTATTCTGCTGTTTTAGGATAGAAGGTTCTACATATATCTGTTAGATACGTCTGGTCTAATGTGTCATTCAAATCCACTGTTTCCTTGTTAATTTTATTTGGATGATCTCTCCATTGATGTAAATGGGTTTTTAAAACCCCCTACTAATATTACTATTAATTACTTTGTTATTCATTTCTTTGTGTATGTTCCAAGTTAATTTTGTAAGTGATAAAAGATAGTTGTACAGTTTCATTCTCTTATATGTGAAAATACAATTTTTCTAATAATAGTGCTATTTATTGAAAAGACTATCTTTTCTGTTCCATTGTCAAATATTAGTTGAGTACATATGCTTGAGTTTGTTTCAGGGCTCTTGATTCTATTCCACTGGTCTGTTTTGCTGTTTTTATGCCAGTAATGTTGTTTTTATTGCTAAAGCTTAAACATAGCTTGAAATAAAATTGTAATACCTCCTGATTTGTTATTGTTTCCCACCCACCTTAGGATTTCTTTGATAATTAGGAGTCTTTTGTGGTTCTGTATAAATTTTAGGATTTTCTTCTACTTGTGCAAAAAAATGCCATTAGAATTATGATAGAATTATGATAAGGATTGAATTTATACGTAGCTTTCTGTATCACAGATGTATTAACAATCTTAGTTCTTCCAATTCATGAACATTAAATACATTTCCATTTATTTGTGTCTTTGGTTTCTTTCATCAATGTCTTATAGTTGTCAGTGTACAGCACTCCCCTTCTTGGCTAAATGTTTTCAAAAATATTTTATTTTAAATTCTATTGTAAATGGAATCATTTTCTTATGTTTCAGAAACTTTGTTGTTACTGTATAACACTGCTATATTTTTTATGTTAATTTTGTACCTGGCAACTACTAAATTCATTGATCTAATATTTTCAGTGTAAGTCTTTAGGTTTTTCTCTCTACGTATAACATCATGGTACTTGCCAATAGAGACCATTTTACTTCTCTCTTTCCAATTCTGATGCCTGCCCCCCCCCCCCGCCCCCAGCTGATTGGTCAAGTTGGGACTCTAATACTCTTGTGTAGGAGTAGTGAGAGTGAGACCCTTATCTTGATACTGATCTTAGAGGGGAAGTTTTCATCCATTTATTATTGAAGATGATGTTAGCTGTGGGCTTGTCATAGATGGCCTTAATTGTGCTAAGGTATTTTCACTCTATACCTAATTTGTTAGAAGATTTTATCATTAATGGATACTAAATTTTGTCAAATGCTTTTTCTGGATCTATTGAGATGATAATGTGATTTTTTTTTCTTTCATTCTATTAATGTGATTTATTATATTGACTGATTTGTATATGTTGAACCATCCTTGAAACCCAGGGATAAATCATAGTTGATCATGAAATTTTTTTTTAATTGCTAATAATTCAACTTCTTAGTATTTTATTGATATTTTTGTATCTGTATTCCTCATGCATACTGACCTATAGTTTTCTTTTCTAGTAGTGGTTTGTTTGTGTTTTTTTGTTTTGTTTTGTTTTTTTGGTCTTTTCCCCCCTGGCTTTGGTATCAGACAGTGCTGGCTTCATAAAATAAGTTCATTTGGAAGGGTTTACTTCTTTTCAATTTTTCTGTAACATAAAGGAGGCTTGCCATTAATTCTTGTTTAAATGTTGCTAAAATTCACCTGTCAGTACATCTGTTTCTGGGCTTTTTTTCTTTCTTTTGTTTAATTTTTTTAATGTTTATTATTTTGAGAGAGGGAGGGAGGGAGGGAGGAAGAGAGAGAGAGAGAGAGAGAAAACACATGAGTGGGGGAGGAGAAGAGAGAAAGGGAGACAGAGAATCCGAAGCAGGCTCCGGGCTCAGAGCTGTCAGCACAGAGCCCGATGTGGGGCTCAAATCCACAAACCATGAGATCATGCCCTAAGCTGAAGTCAGATGCTTAACCGACCAAGCCACCCAGATGGCCCTGGGCTTTTTTCATTGGGAGATTTTTGATTACTTATTCAACCTGCTTACTAGTAACTGGTCTGTTCAAATTTCTTATTTTTTTCTGATTCATTGTTGGTAGTTTGCATGTTTCCAATAATTTTTCCATTTCTTCTAGTTTGTCTAGTTTGTTGATGTATAGTTGACCTTTTGTGATCTTTTTATTTCTATGGTATTAGTTGAAATGTCTCTTTTCATTTATAATTTTGTTGAATGTGTCCTTTTTTTCTTTCTTGATCTAAGTAAAAAGATTTGTGTTTTTGTTTATCTTTTCCATGAACCAACTCTTTTTTTGGTTAATCTGTTGTATTATTTTCCAGTTTTCTATTTTTTTTCTATGATTTATTATTTCCTTCCTATTGATAACTTCAGGCTTAGGTTTTTTTTTTTTTTTTCTTTTGTTAGGCTCAGTTTTTTTCTTTTGTTCCTTAAGGTATAGACTTGTTTATTTGATATCTTTTGTTTTGTTTTTTTGTAGGCCTTTATTGCTATAAAATTCCCTCCCAAAACTGTAGTTGCTGGATAAGTTTTGGTGTGTTGGGTTTCCATTTTCATTTTTCTCAAGGTACTTTTAAATTTACCCTTTATTTTCATTTTTTTGTTGTTGTTCACTAGCTGTTGAGAGTGCTGTTTAATTTCCTTATACATATTAACATTCCAGTTTTCTTCCTGTTTTGAATTTCTACTTTTCTACCATTGTGGTCAGAGAAGATACTTTAATCTTTTTTAGCCTGCTAAAATGTGTTGTGTATTCCAGAAAACGTTCCGTGTGCAGTTGAGACAAATGTGTATTCCCCTGTTGTCTGATAAACATTATGTATATGTCTGACAGGTCTATTTTATCTATAGTGTTTTTCAAATGCACTATTTCCTTATTGATTCCCTGTATGATCTATTTATCCATTATTGACAGTAGGGTACTAACATCCCTACCTGTCATAATGCTGTTTATCCTTTTACTTCTGTTATTTTTTGCTCCATATATTTGTGTTCTGTGAGTTGAGTATATAAATATTTACAATCATTATGTTGTTGGTATATTGACCCCTTCATCACTATTTAATAATCTTCTTTCTCTCTGTATCTTAAGGTCTACTGTTTTTTCCTGATGTAAATATAGCTTCACTGCTTTTTTTTTCTTTTGATACCATTTTCTTGAAATAACTTTTTCCATTCTCTTTCTCTAACTCTGTGTGTCTCTAAGGCTAATGTGAGTCTCTTGTAGGCATAATTTAAATTTTTTTTCATAATTTTACCTTTAAGGTATTCTTAAAGCTTTTGATTAGAGAATTTAATCCATTCATATTTAAAGTACTATTGATAAGTAAGGACTTACTATTGCTGTTTTTTTTTTTTCCTGACTGCTTTGTAGACCAGTTATTCCTTATATCCTCCTGTTGTGTGTGTATGTGTGTGTGTTGATATCTTTTGGTATCAGTAAGCTTTGACATTTTTTATCATGTTTATTTGTATATCTACTATAGATTTTTCCCTTGCAGTTCTCATAAGGTTTACATAAATATCTTAAAATTATAATACCCTATTTAAACTGATAACTTCACTGAATAGAATTCCTAAACTTTACAATTTAACTTCCCCTCATATTTTAGATTATTAATGTTAGTTTACATATTTTATATTGTGTAACTAATAACAGATTATTGTAGTTATGATAAATTTTAAACTACAATTGTAGATAAATTACACACCCAAATTACCATATTATACAATCTACTTGTATGTATTCACCAATATCCATGAGCCTTATACTGCCTTCCTATGCTTTTACAATTATAATTAACATCATTTTTCTGTTTTTATCTCTCCTTCATTTCTGAAAGACAACTTTGCCAAGTATAGAATACTTGGTTGAGAGTTTTATTTTTCAGTATTTTGAATATACCCTCTCATTTTCTCCCAGCCTGAAATATTTCTGTTGTGAAATCCACATGTAATTTCTCTTTTCTCTTGCTGTTTTAAAGATTCTTCCCTTTACTTTTGACAATTTAATGTGTCTCAGTGTAGTCCTATTCAGGTTCAACCTATTTGTGGTTTTTGAGTCCTCTGGATTTAAGAGTTCATTTTTCTCCCCAGTTTTGGAAAACTTTCAGCCACTATCATTTAAAATATACTTTTGGTTCTTACTTTTTCTCTTCTAGAATTTACATAATGTGGATAATGTCAATTTGATTGTGTCCCATAAGTGTTATAGACTTCTTTACTTTTGTTCATTTCTTTTTGCTCCTCTAATTGGATAATTTTAAATGTCCTTTCTTATATTTGAGGTTTTTTTTTTATTTTTTTTTCCTTCCCATATTTGACTCTGCTTCTGGGGCTCTTTTCTGAAGTCTTCAGTATAGTCACTGTATTTTTTAGCTCTAGGATTTTTTATTAGTTGGTTTTTGATGGTCTCTATCCTTGCTGAAATTCTCATTTTGTTCATGTATTGTTTTCCTATTTTTGTTCAGTTTTTTTGTCTGTTTTTATACTTCATTAAACATCAAGGGGAGGATTATTCTAAAATCTTTGTGTGGCAGTTCATATTTATCCATTTCTTTAGAGTCAAGCTTTATTAGATTCATTTGTCATGTCATGTTTACCAAATTTGTCATGATCTTTGATTCCTTACATTGTTATCTATGCATCTGAGTAAGTGGTCACCACTTCCAGCCTTTACAGGTTTGCTTTGACATAGACCATTCTTCTCTAGTCAGGTCAGTTGGTTTTCTAGATACATCTTCTAGGCTGGTAGGACTTGCTATCAGGTTTATTTTGGGTCAAGGTCACTTTCTGAGCTTTGGAGTAGGAGGGTGCTGCCGGCTGAGAATAATTAGCTATGTTTGATGGCTTGGTTCCCTGCCTAGAAAAAAACTACTAGAGAGGTTCTGCAGTCACCTGGGTTTTCTGGTCAGGCTTATTATCAGTCAAGACTGGTACTATATGGCACAAAAACAGACACATAGACCAATGGAATAGAATAGAAACCCCAGAACTAGACCCACAAACGTATGGCCAACT